TAACTCACTGTGAAGGTAGGTAAATGCTCTGGCTAAGGCCGGAGAGATGTAACAGGAAAGATGTCTTCAAAACCTTTTTAATGTGCAGAACAGCAAAGCAGGGAACAACTTACACTTAACAGTTTAACTAATATATTCCAGAAGACAGAAAGAATGTGAAGAGAGGCATTAGGATCTAAGCCTGTCTTTTAAAGAGACAGGTTCCATATACTAAAAAAAACAACTGGTTTAGAAAGTTGTGTTCCTGGGTAAAGAGATGAAAAAACCGAAGTTTCAGGCAATATCACTGTCATGATTTGGGCTGTGCAAACAAGGCCTAGCAGGCCCAGGAAGCCTGACTAGCAGTGGGAAGAGGCCAGGCCTACAACTCCCAGAGGCCCCTGAGAGGTTTTGGCGCCAGTTTTGGCCAATCACAGGGAAAGGGGACTTATAACAAAAGAGCTGGTACAGGAGAAGAGCTGTTCTTCTTCTTCCCAGGGAACAGGGGCAGAAAGAAGGCTGCTGTGGGGAGTCCCATTGAGTCTCTTTCTCCGTGCCGTGGTGTGAGGCTCGGATGGAGCTGAGTCAATGCGATGGGGGAACTGCAATCCCGTGGGGTTATTGATTGTTTAAGTTCTGTTCCAGTTGATCCCTCCAGTTATTTAGTTTAAATTTTTTTTTTCTGTATCTATGTTGTCACTCGCTACCTCAACATTTGAAGTAACTGTCGGGTGTTAGCTAAGTGTGTCAAATGGGTCTTAAGGTGCAACAAGCTTGCTTTATTTCATTATCACTTGACAGTTATAACTCTAACTATGAAGAACCTGCCTATCTGCCTTGACTGTTGTGGTGTTGAAATAAACAGGCACACGTTACAATAAGCAAAATATTTATTTGTTCATGTTGAAAACCTCTAAATAAATAGACTGTGAATCTTTTTGCTAACAATATATGTCTTTGAGCCAATTTACTTAATTCCCAGCAGAACTTCCACCCTCACCCTCCCTGTGCTGGGCTCCGGCCGCCCTAAGGCCCTAAGGCCGCCCTAAGGCCCCTCAGTTCCCTGTCCATGGGCCTCTGCTTCCTCTCAAATCCATCCATCCATCCTCCTGGAAAACGCGGCAACTGAATGCAACCGTTGGAGATAGGTGGTTAGCGCAGGGGGCAATGTTAGCATGCATTTGTTCAACACAGTAACACACGTCATGTCCAATGCACACGTACTCACATGTCGTCCTGCATGGTGTTTCCAAATTCATGAAGGCGGAGAGAAGATTGTCTCCAGCTGCTCCTGCTGTGAGTCCTCCTCCTTGTCTCCCTGATGGTCCTAAAGAGTGGATTCAAGGGAGAACATGATATCCTTCTGAACAGTGTTCAGTGTGCAATGCTGCTCCTTCCTGAGGGGGGGCCCAATAGCAGTGCTCACTCCATTCTGAGTCACTTTGAGCCAGCCCACAGTACTTGGCCTCCGCATCACACATTTTCCACTTGGCTCAGAAAAGATGGCTACAGAGCGAACTTATTCATGCAGTAGCCAAAGAACACGCTCACGACTGTAATGCCAGTAGCTCACAAAGTAGAACTTCTGCTCACAAGACTCCGCAACGTGGAGGAAACATTGTTCACTAGCTCTCCCAGACATCACATTCCCACCACATGTAACATCATCACACAGGTACCTGGCTGAACATCTTCTTCTTGAACTGGGGTGCCCCCCAGTCTTTCATCTCCATGTGCCACATGGCGGACGTCTTCTCCCTGGTCACCTGGTACTGCGGGCGGAAGTGGTCCTTGTCCTTCCCTCTCGGCTGCATCTGAGGAACAACAGGAGCAGTTAGGCTAACCAGTGGTGTACATGCAGTAAGGGTGGCATCACAGCAGGTTATGACGAGCATCCAAATGTAGCAATGTTCAGGAGACATTGCTGCCTGTAATAACTGTCGGATTCATTCAGAAGTACCTGAGACTGGTGTTGAAGGTGCTGGTGGGCTGATGGCATGTGCTACTTCCTCCCCTGCTTGCACTCCAACCGGTGGATCGTGCACTTCAGCAGCTGCCTGTGGCACTTCACGTGGCACCCTCTGCCTGGGACGTGCGGCTTCTGCCGTAAAGGAAGTACTGACACTCCTGGAAGCATTCTCCTCATTCCCTTGCTGTCATGCACATGGAGAGCATTTTTATGGCTGCCTATTCAGAAAATTTACCTCCTCTAAACTGTAATTTGATTGACCAGAAAGACATGCTAAACTGAAGCTGAGAAATGATTTTAGTGCATGCAAATGCACCAATGGTGATGGTGGTGCTCTTTACAGGCCACATACACACTGGTTTGCATCCTAACCTCAACTCAAAGCACTGTTTAATTTGCAACAAATTATCTTCACATGTTGGTTGTTTGGTTTTTTGAAATTCACAGCGAGAGGGCGTACAACTCTCGTTGTAGCAGTTTTGCATGACTGATTCCCTTATGCATTTGATCTTAGAAAACAAAAGGGAAGGGGACACGTATGCATGAGCATAAATATGGGACTGCCAATCCAGGTCAATAGACAGCCTCCCGTGAGGTCGGTCTGGGGGAGAAGGCGCTGAGAGAATTACTGCTCTGGACAGAACAGTGACTGACCCAAGGACACCCAGCTGGATGCCTGTGGAGGAGTGGTCAATCAAATCTCTGTTCTCTCTGATTGGAGTCCACGCCCCTAAACATCACAGCAGGCTGGCCCCATGTAGGTGGTCTCTCCTCTATTTGTCGAACTTTCTGGGGTTTCCCTAAGGGCGTGGGTGTATCTTGCGATTCTAAAATCTTGGAAGAAAATCAGAGCTGCTAGCACTGATTCGTTTAGCCAACTGGCCTTTAATTCAATGCTATCCAAAGACTTAGATCGTTCTTGTTTTCTCAATAACCTAATACTAAGATATTCCATTCCTAATTACCTCCTTAGTTCTTCAACAAATAACTCAGATCTCAGAGAATGGGTATTTAAGCATAATGCTCTGTTAGACAGACACTCAATTTAAAAATCACAGTCTGCTACCTGGTTTAAATCATTTAAGAATGATCATTTTAGATCACCTTACCTGGTTAATATAGATGATCATAACCTTAGAGCAGCTTTTACATCTTTGCACTTTGAATCAATGCCTACGGCCGTTCTGGTCGGCCACTATAGTAGAACACACAAGGCACAGCGTTCATGTATTTGTGGCTCTTCTGCTATTGAGGATCTCTCCCATTACATTTTTGATTGCCCATTGTATTCCCAGCCCAGGCCAAAAATTTTATCTGGTATTTTACCAGTTTTAAGCTTTTACTCAGTCTTAGAGAAGATTATATTTTTGCTAGCCAATGCCAATGTATCCAATACAATGGCTCTATTTGCCTTGGCTGCAAGGAAAATACAGGCCAACGCTGTTCCTAGCTAATACTGATTTTAGTGGGTATGTTGTGAATTAATTAACTGTTTATAACCTCGGTTTTATGGATTTATGATGTTTTAGACTATCTTATTTTATACAATTTTCTATGTTTTATTGCATTCTCTGTTCGTGGTTTGTAATGGCCTATGGCTAAATACAATTTAACCTTCTCTCTCAACTCTCTGGGGTTGGGGGGGGGGGTCATCTCCCTGATTTTCTAGCATTGTGCGTAGGGTTGGACTAGATGAACCAGGAGACCCCCCCCTAACTCTATGGTTATAACTCAGGGTTCCCCTGAGTTGAGTTTTATCAATAGAGATTGAACAGCCTGCTTTGTGAACTGTTTTTATTCAACCACCATTTTGGGGGGCTGGGGGCCGTGTGGGTGTGAGTCCAGTTCTACTAGTATGCATATGGGGCTGAAAAAAAGAAATATGCTATAACCACAGCAGTCATTAACCAAAGACAGCAGCGTAAGCTCACTACAATGTCTTATAAACCATTATAACCATCCTCCTGACAAAAAAGAAAAGAGTTGCTGCCAGCTGGAAATCTCACACCCCCCCCCCCCACCCGCACTGACCACTCACTCTCACCAGCATGGTGACGATCCTCCCAACGAGGTCATCCTGCCGCCTGCCAAAGCTCTACCATCATTTCGTGGTAGGCAGTCCGTCCGCTTGCCCTGGGAATGCCCTCCCAGGCCTCCAGGCTTGCCATAAAGTTGCACCTGACTCGTTTAAATTTAGATCGGCCCTGATCAGCGGTGCGATTGAATCCTCTCCTGGCCATCAGTCTTGAAACGGCCTCATAATACCTCCCTGTTCTCTAGATGTGTGCTGGCCATTAATTCCTGGACATGTCCAGAACGGCCCACAATATCCAGGAGGAGGTCCACCTTGTTGCGTTGCCAAAAGGTTCCGCATCTCCGGGCAGCCATTTAGTATGTAGGACGTTATAACATTGTTGTAACTTAGCGAAAAGAAAGTTTAAAAGTAAGGGACCAATAGCAGCAACTCTGTGAACTGCATGATTGCTAGGTCTCCGAGTATGGCTCGTAAATCCGACCTCCACGTCAATAAAGCGTCCAGAATTATCAACAGTCCCCTGCAAGAGAAAAGAGCAGTAATGTTTCCTGTTCCCGTACTCGTTGATTTTTCTTCTTGGCGCTCGAATTGGGATAAGACTGGCGTCAATTGCACCAATGCAACATGGAATGCCCAGCTGGCCAAATCTGTCCATAATCTGCAAAGCAATACCGTGAGGATAAAAGTGACCATTAATGGAGAGTCATATAGCTTCCGTCTGCACTGTACAAAAAGACATTCCATGAAATATAAATATCTAGCCATTCATTCTCCCACCCACTGAACCATAACAACCAACCAGCCGAGCTGAGCCACTGCTGCAATCAAACAGGAAGTAGAGTTGGATTTATACCCCGCCCTTCACTCGGAGCCTCAGAGTGGCTTACGATCTCTTGCCCTTCCTCTCCCCTCCAGACACCCTGTGAGGTAGGTGGGGCTGAGAACTGTGACTGACCCAAGGTCACCCAGCTGGCTTCATGTGGAAGAGTGAGGAACCAAACCTGGCCCCCAGATGACATGGGCCGGCCAGCACAGTGGCCTCTGAGGCTCTTGGCTTTGCCGGCCAGTGGGCAAATAGCAGGAAAATACCTCTTCCAGTCCCCTCTTCGGCTGGCCACTTCAGGTAAGTAAAATAATAGCTGTAGCTGTTTGGTGAAGGGGCAGGGCACATCCGGGAGGGGGCGTCACCCCTGCCTCGCGCCCCCCCATGGCTATATAGTATAGTGTCCAGATAGTGATGGTGCCACTTTGCCCTGCTCCAATACCGTGACACCTAGAGTATTGTGTTCCTCAGTGGAACAGGCTTCCTCGCGAGGTGGTGGGCTCTCCTTCTTGGGAGGTTTTCAAACAGAGGCTAGATGGCCCCATCTGACAGCAGTGCTGATTCTGTGAACTTAGGCAGATCATGAGAGGGAGGGCAGGAAGGGTTGCCTCAGGGCTTAGTTCTGGTGGCCCAGGAAAATGCTGATTGCCAGGTTGGAGTCAGGTAGCAAATTTTCTCCAGGCTGGTATGGCCAAGAATCCTGGAGGGTTTTTTTGCCATCTTCTGGGCGTGGAACAGCAGTCACTGCGGGTGTGGAGGGGGAGGTATTTGTGCATTTCCTGCCTTGTGCAGGGGGTTGGACTAGATGACCCTGGAGATCCCGTCCCACTCTAATGATTCTATGATTCTCTCCTCACTGGTTGGCCCAAAGTGACTGAAGGCAACCTGGACCAATGGCTTCCCCGACCAGGCCCTCCCCTCTCCTAAGGTTTTCAGAGGCTGCTCTGCCCGCCTGCATAGAGCCCCGGTGCTGCCAGCCTCCTCCTCTGGCCTGTGCCCAGGTGCAAGCTGCTGCCTGAACACCAGCCCCCTTCTGAGTTATGTGCTGGGCCTGCTGGCCTCTGCTGCTGCTCCTGACAGATCTCTGGGCATCGGCCTCCCCCTTGCTCCTTCCTCCCTGGCCCCTGGGTGGACGGCCCAACTCAGGGGTGCCTAGGTGAGGTTGACTCTGCCAGAGTCTCCTCTGGGGCAGGTGAGTGCAGGCGTGGAGCTGCCACCCCCAGAGAACAGTGATAGACAAGGCTTTACTCAACATGCCTGCCATGAATGTTTGAGTGCAGGGATCTGCAGATTGGGGGGGGGGAGGCTGTCAAGTTGCAGCTGGCCCCTCATGGGGCTTTCTGAGGCGTGAGCCGTCCAGAGGTGGTTTGCCATGGCCTCCCTCGGTGTGGCAATCCTGAACTTCCTTGGTGGTCTCCTGTCCAAGTCCCCGGGGGCCAGCCCTGCTTTGCTTCTGATATCTGAAAAGACTGGGCTGGCAGCGTTACTTAAGAATAATTTGTATGTATACTGCAGGCAAAACTATTTTCAAAAACTGGTTAAAATGTAAATAGTGTCGGTAGGTAACCCTATGCTATGTGTTATCATTAGTGAAGAACAACATTGTTAGTGTTTAAAACACAACAGTATCCATATAGGCTGGAAGACCTACTGATTGTGGCTGTATGAGTTTCTACCCCAAATAATGTATGGTCTTTTGGTCTGCTCGTTTGTTTTCCAGGTCCAACTCCCCCCCCCCCCCCTCTCACGAGGTGAACGTGACACAGAGATGTGGGGGCGACCTGGGCTGAGCTCTTGCTTGGGCGCACTTGTAGCTTATCCACCGGAAACAAGGACGGCACTTCAGAGGGTCCGCCCTGGTGCTCTACTCCGTCTGCAGCAGAACAAGCCGGCCGGCCGGCGTCAGGCCGGCAGCCCCCCCCCCCGCCCCCGGGAGAGAGAGAGAGAGAGGGAGGGAGACCGACCAGCGTGTCCGGGGGGGGCGGGGGGTCTGGAGCCTTCCGGAGCCGAGGCGCCCTCGGCCTGACGCAGCAGAGGAGAGACGGG